AGTAGACGACGTGTGATACAACATTAAGCAAACGGATCATAGGAACGGCCATTTACTAAAAAGACAAAAAACTAAATATTTCTTCACAAAATGAAGCACAATTCTTAATAAATGAAATCAATCAACTTTTATGTAATAAACACAATTCCTGATTACAACTCAATCTCAATACTTGGAAAATAGGAATCTTTCTTTATTTACAACACTAATTAAACTTCTTGCTGATTACCACACGGGGCAAAATACTTGTAAGTTAGGAGGAGGTTTTAATGACTAAATCAGGCAAAAGTCTTATGGATTTAAGGAAAAGGGCAAAATAGAAAAATGGGCAGAATTCTTAAAAAGCCCCCACAAACAATCACAACCACATAATATCAAATGATTTACAACTCAATTAAAGCAAATCCTTAATGATATATAATAAGCGCAAATCTTGATTACAAAACTAAGCTCAGCAAATAGGACTTCATTTAATATAAAAAACATTTATTTTAACAAATTAAAATCAATTAAAACAAATTACTTCAAAGCAAAACTTCTTATGAAATAAAAAAACATTTGTTAATTACAAAAATGTCAAAATACTTCTGAAATCTTTAAACACGAAAAGCGTTTTGTTTTTAATTTGTATTATAATAATGTTCAGCAACATTTCTGGCTAAACTTCTCACACCATTTTATAAAACTGAGCTTTGAATGCTTGTTGAAATAAAAAAGAAATAAAAAACACCAACTCTCGATGTGCTCAAATCCACCAGCAGGTGGCGCTGTAACACCTTTCTCCTGTTCTCTCTGGACTCATTGGCATCAGGTATTGCAATGCAGGTTTCAGAGGATATTTGACTAGTTTTATTAAATATATAACATTATTCAGCCGGGGTTGCTGTGTCTTTGGTTTCAAACTGCACCGACTGCTTTGACTTTTCAAATTCAACCAAATGTGTGAGTTGTTGTTAAAGATCTACGTCTTCAGAAGGAACCAATGGGCTTGGAGCTGACAGGAAGTCAGAAAAGACATATTGATGGTGTGGTATTTTCAAGTTGTGTGTGTGTGTGTGTGTGTGTGTGTGTGTGTGTGTGTGTGTGTGTATATGTGGTGTGTGTGTGTGTGTGGTAACTTCTCAATTTTACTTTTTTGTATGCTGCTGCAATGCAAAAATGTCCCAAATTGGGATCAATAAAGTAGCTCTTATCTTATCTTATAAAGGTATTCTGGTTTAGTTTGCTTCTAAATAACTGATTCTCTGTCGGTAGTGTAGCCTAAGAGCTTGTCTTCAGTGTTGATAACAGGTATTTAGAGGACTTACTGCAGTCCGCTGGCTCCACTGTGTGTCCGCAGTCTGAACAGCAGCTCCTGAAACAGCATTAGATGAACCACCACTAGCTGTCAGTGAGCTCCGTCTGTTTCCCTTTGAAGAATTAAGCTGCTTTTATAAACGGACTTTTTTTTAGAACACAGAGGTAAGTAGATTACACAGTAGTTTATCATAGGTCTAATGTTTACACGTGTTCACTGTGCTTTTTACGTGTAAATATCTAGTTTTAATGTGGGTTTTACGTGATGCTTTTGTCAGTTAACAACCTGCTGTTGTGATGGATATTGATTGATTGAATTGATTGATTGAAAAGTTTATTAACAGCTTGTATATTGGGGTACAGTACAGTACAGCTCAAAACATACAATTGTTAAGGGGATGCAGACCAGAGAAAGACTTTCGTCTTGTTTACATCAGGGTCCCCCATTTCCAATTCATCATATCATTTAAGACATATAAGACATATTTGACATACAGATGGCTTATTTACAATTTACATACAGGTGGTTTTTTACATACAGATGGCTTATTTACAATTTTCATTTTAGATTTCGTTCTAATACATCCTAACCGGACATTTAAGACATACCAAGTCTACAGATATACAGTTTAGTAACAGAGTCTAAAATGCGAGTATATACATAGATGGGGGGGGGAAGCTGTCCATTGTACGACAGGTTGAGATTTGTACCATTACCGGGGCCAGTTTTGCAATGCTTTCCCCCGAAGGTGCTCTTTAAGAGAGGTTTTGAAGGTAAGTATAGTTTTACTTTCCTTTACAGTTGTGGGAAGAGCGTTCCACCTTGATGTGGCATAATTGCGAAACGTGTATTCCCCTTTTTTTGTGCCAAATCTGGGTTTTACATGATTTGTGGAGCTCCCTCTGGTGTTATGATCATGGTATTCCTTGACCTTTGGGAAGAATTTTGACATGTACATGGGTACCATAGAGGTGTAGTGGATCTTGTAGACCAGGCCCATTGCAAGTAGCTGTACTCTGTCGTCTACTCTAAGCCATCCTAGGTTGTCAAAGTGGGCAGAGGTGAGGTGGGTTCTAGATGAAAGGTCAAGCAGTAGTCTGACCAGTTTATTTGCGATGTTTGAAGTTTTATTTTTAGCGCCTTGGAGGTGCTATGGTACCATGACGTGCAAGCATAGTCATAGTACCCTTGAATGAGTGCTCCTGCCAGAGTTTTCAGGGTGTTTTTGTTTACCAGAGAGGAGATCCGGTATAGGAATCTAGTTCTTTGATTGACTTTTTTTATTACATTGGATGCCATTTTGTCACAGGAGAGGTTTGCCTCAAGAATAGATCCTAGGTATGTAATTTCCTTCTTACTTGTGACAATAATGTCACCCACTGCAACTGAGAAGTCGTCGGATTTGCTGAGATTATGTTTCGAACCGAAGAGAATGGACTCTGTTTTACCCAGGTTTTAACGGTTTCTGTAGCTAAGTATGCTAAGCTAATAAAGTTAGCCACATTCACAATTAGCCAGATGTGTAAAGTAACTAAGTAAACATGTACTGAAGTACAATTTTGAGGTACTTGTACTTTACTTGAGCATTTCAGTTTTTGTGTTACTGTGTACCTCTCTCGTCCACTACAGTTCAGAGGTAAATGGTGTACTTTTCCTCCACTACATGTATTTAGTAAGGGATAATGTGCACATTATCCCGCTTATTACATGGCCACATTCTCAACAAAGTAATGATATGACTCCCAATATTAATTGAAATGCTTTTATGGATTTAGAAAATGATTTAATTGATTTAAAAAATAGTTGTATTGATTTAAATTGAACATGCATCCGCTAAGGAAAATAGTCCGTTGTTACCGTTTGAAAAACGTAGCAACGGCAGGAAGGCGGAGCTTTTTGATTAGATTTGAAAACATTGTTGCTTGCTTTAAAAGTAGCACAATTCATTATGTCAAACCTTGGAAAGTATCTAGATATCCCTGCCCTAATGCCAAAGGAACTGCACACTGAATATGTGTCGCCGTTTGATGTCTATGTCTGGACCGCTGCGTAAAAAGGAGGGTTTCTGCCCCGTTACTTCTCCGCTGTTTTCTTGTCGCTCTTGTCTTGTCAGTTAGAAAAGCAAACTGTATACAGTTTGCTTTTCGGCCAAACTGTATACAGTTAAATCGAACGGACTTGTTTGTGCAGATGTGAGCGTCCTTAACAACGGTCAATAAATCCTTGACAGCGGTCTGTCTGTTCTGGATTAACAACGTGTCACGTGTTCTGAATTGACCAATCAGAATCGAGTATTCAACTAAACCATGTAATAAATGATATACACCTGAACATCAGCAGGAGAGGACTCTTTAAAGTAGAGACACTATACTGATATATACCTGAACATCTTTTGTTACCAGATTACATTCAGTTGGTGTTTACCATGTGCTCTCTATTGGACAATATGAACTTCTGAAACTATTTTTATATTTGTATTTTTAATTGCATAACAATCAAACCATCCTATATCAGGTTATCATAAATAAAAAAAGGCACCTCTATAAAGCATATATATCAAATAATAGCAACATTGTGCAGGTCTGTTCTTTCTCCTCTGGAAGACCCCCAGTAACACCAGGAACACCAGTAAGGGTCCCAGTGCTGGATACTGGGGAAAGATCAGAGGCGCCTTCTACAGTCTGATGGGTGAGAACTTTTTTTCTTCTATGATTATTTGTTAAATGCCTATGTGAATGGCATGTGCGTGTAGGGAACACTATACAAACTAAATATTAACAATTGTTATTGTGGGGGAAACTTCTGAAGCAATTGGAAACAGGACTATGGGCTCAGAACAGTCTCATAATTCACACATGCACACAGAAGGATTCACACTTGTATTTCCGGTTCCACACTTGTGTTTTTCAATGCTCACACAAATGTGTTCCGTTTCATATTCATGTAAATAAAATCTAAATACAGAAAAAAGTTTTACATATGTATTTTTGATACACACATTTGTTTTCCGTTTAAAAAACCGCTGCAACCGGCAAAACACAACCCGCTCTCTGTGCATGGATCGCTGTGCATTCGTGTGTGGGTTTTTTGAGACTCCCCTGACGGTAACCCGATTCGTACTTGTAATTTTTTCTATCTATAGCCAATCAGATGTCTCCTCCATTCTAAGCCAATCACATGAGCGCGCCCCCACGAGGGTATGATTTATTGCGTTCATGACGTAGCGCTTCATGTACGCATTTTGCGCTGTCCGGGTTAGGGTAAAATGCGTAGCATGAAGCGCTACGTCATGAACGCAATAAATGGCTATACAGGGTAGAGATTAAAAACAAATCAAATACAATCATTTAAATATCTATATATGTTAAAAACAGGTGAATACCCTCAGGTGAGTGACTGTACCCAGCTGTCATAGTAGAGAAGTAAAAAATAGACCATGATATTTAAAAAAAAATTATTGCGTAACAATATTGTGTGTGTGTGTGTGTGTGTGTGTGTGTGTGTGTGTGTGTGTGTGTGTGTGTGTGTGTGTGTGTGTGTGTGTGTGTGTGTGTGTGTGTGTGTGTGTGTGTGTGTGTGTGTGTGTGTGTGTGTGTGTGTGTGTGTGTGTGTGTATTTGAGTGGAAGATCACGCTGAAAACTTAACCGATGACAAGAAGCCAGTGTTCAAACTAAATAACCCAAATGTTGCTTTGATCTATTTTCCTGATGACAAACATGTATTTATTTGAGGGTTGCTGTATGTAGCATTTAGAAAGCTGTGGCTAACTTGAAGCTAACGTTTGATTCTTGCTCTTTGAGGTTTGATATTCATGATTAAATGCACTTAATGTAACTTTTAACCAAAGCTTTAGTAACGTTTATGGGTAAGAAGCGCTCGGTTTCTTCGTCAGTTTCATTTAAAGCATTTTTTTTGTATTCCTTTAGGATCCAGCCCTCGTGTCCGCGGCTGTGGAGGAGAGGATACAGTATCTTCTGGTATAAAAAAACACACATTCTGACCATTACAATGAATAAGAAAAACATATGTATGTGAAGAATATTGCCTTGATGTGTTTTTATTCTCTAGGATCCATCTGTGGTCTCGGCTGCCATGGAAGAAAAGATTCAACGTCTTCTGGTGAGTCAGAAATACTTTATTCCTCCTATTTAGACACAGCAAAGACACAGTGCAGATATAAGACAACAAGTTGACTAACATTTTAAACAAAAAGAAGCAAGATTAAATAATATAAGTACGCATCTACAGTAGAAATAAGTAAGTACCAGCTTTATAAAGTGAGTTAAGTTGCTGTAATACATTTTAAAGGAGCATATATATTGGTCTTTTCCTCCTCTAGGATCCAGCTGTAGTGTCGGCTGCTGTCGAGGCGAAGATGCAACGTCTCCTGGTAAATCACAGACCCTCTGGAAATGATTAAAACATCATGAACTCAAACTTATTCTGGGGTTGTTTACACGAACATGGGAGTCTTTTTGTATCTCAACATTATTAAGTGTGTGGCTTCCTTCCTCGCTTTCTATCTAAGCCACTTTGTGTGTGTGTGTGTGTGTGTGTGTGTGTGTAGGTGTAGGTGCAGGCCCTGGAGAAGTGGCTCAGCGGCCGCATCAAGGTGGGAGGAGGAAGAGGCATTTTCAAAACTATCTAGTGTTTATATTCAAGAAATGTATACAAAGAAAAGACGAAAACAAGGAAAAGAAGCCATTATTTCCAAGTAAATGCTCTGCCTTTGTCTGCACATATTAACGGTATTTACTGTGACTCAGGACCAGGCGTCGCTCCGCCTCACAGGAAGCTGCTCAGACTGTGGACGACCCGACGCAGACAAAATGGCCGACTTCGCTCTGGAGACTCATGGTCAGAGACATCAGACAACTTTGTTTTATTATAAAACTTAAAGGGGACCTATCATGCAAAATGCACCTTTGTACGTCTTGTATACATGAATATGTGTCCCCGGTGTTCCAGGGAACTCACCAAGTGTCAGAAAACACAACCCTCTCTCTTTTCCTCCATACCCAAAATCTCTAAAAACGGGGCTGCAACGGATCTGATAAAAACTGATCCAGATTTGAAAATAGTCTGACATCAGTGACGAGGAGCTCCGCCTATATGGCCAACTCTCCACCTATCAGGGGAATGAGAGGTTGCCGTGGCATGGTAACAGCATGGTAACAGCATGGTAACAGCATGGTAACAGCATGGTAACAGCATGTTAACAGCATGGTAACAGCATGGTAACATGACGCTCGTAACTCGGCCCCCTCCTTTGCAGGGGGGCGTGGTCAGCTGCAGCGAATGCAAAGACAGGCTGGAGGAGAGCAAAATAGAGCGAAATGAGGCATGGCTAAAATGCATGATCTGTTTGGTATTTTGAAAAAGAAAACGTATAAATATGCCTTATATAGGTATGGCCCTACAATATATTATTCAAATATAGCATGATAGGTCCACTTTAATTATCTCTGAGAGCTTCTTACAATTCAGGGCAACAATCACAGCTACAAATCTGTGTGTGTGGTGTTGTGTGTGTGTGTGTGTGTGTGTGGTTGTGTGTGTGGTGTGTGTGTGTGTGTGTGTGTGGTGTGTGTGTTGTGTGTGTGTGTGTGGTGTGTGTGTGGTGTGGTGTGTGTGTGTGTGTGTGTGTGTGTGTGTGTGTGGTGTGTGTGTGTGTGTGTGTGTGTGTAGGAGCACGTGTGATCAGCACCAGGTGTTCTGAGACGTATTACAAGCTCAGGCCGGTTTCCCCTCTGTTTGGTTTCCGTCGGTTTGGTTTCCCTCGCTGGTATCCATCAGAGAGCCCAAGCAGCATCGTCATCCAGGTATCTCACATTTACCTCCTCTAATACTTTCTCACATTGACCTCCTCTAAACCTTTCTCACATTGACCTCCACTAACCTTTCTTCTCAGTAAGATAAAACCCTCCTCTCCTCGTTTCTCCCAGGGTTCCCCGGTGCTGTTGGCGGGTCAATGTTGGCCGTTTCACGGTGCGCAGGGCACGCTCCTGATCTCCCTCTCTCACCCCAATCACCGTGAGTCACGTGACCCCTCGCCCACATCCCCCGATACAACTCTCCCACCGGACGCATCGACTCTCGCCCCCGAGACACCTCCAGGTCTACGTGAGTCACCCCAGAGAATATTGTCGTGTCAAATAATCATTTCAAACATATACTCTTATTGTCTTTTTTTTACACTGTTAAATTGTAATGTTTAGTCTTGTAATGTGTTTAACAGAGACATATGTTAAGGATTTACATATCAAGCAGACGAACTCGTCATGAAGCCCGCAGATAATAAAACCCACCCATTTAGAGGGAAGATATGATTGGTCAATTGTACTGTCATTGACATTACTCTCTCGTTGAGTTTACTATAGCGGCCCTCTGTGAATTCACAGCAGGACCAATCAGCTCCTGTCTTCACAGTAACTCGCCAGGACGCGCCTTCTTTCATTTAACCCTTCACATTCAAACTGAAACTGAATAGGGCAGATTCGAAGGATTTATTTCTTTGGAAATGTTATTTTAAATACAATTAAATCAAGTTATTTGGTAAAACTAATGAAAAATATAACAAAAAGAATATATTAAAAATTGTTTTTAATATTATTATTTTGTAGAATATCTTAGGCCCTCAGAGTGGCCCTCTCTCAGGGCCCTCTAGGGCCACTCTGAGGGCTCGCCACTGGTGACTGTAAGCTGTGTTCTGGGTGCAGAACTTCTTTATCCTCTGAGGTTGAATTTGCTCTGTTCCTACATTCGATTTCACTTGTATATTGACTTTCTTTATTACTTTATTAAATATAACATGAATAATTTCCTCCGCAAATATCAGCCAAAAAACAGCTGTCACTTAATCCATGTCCACGCACTGTTTATCAGGCTTTTTGGTTTGTTTTGGTACACTAGCTACAGAGACCTTTACATCAGTTTGTCACCCTCTGTATTTGATCTGTGTCTCCCAGGGCATGAGGGAGGAGTCAGAGGAAGGCTCTCTGCTCGGGGACCTTCACCTACGATGAGAACGGAGAATCTACGCAGACGTTCAAACTGCCCGTGAGTTTCAGACTGAGGAATATCGATGTTAAAATGACTTGCATTGTGAACAGGCTAGTCATTAGATTAGATTCACTATTGATCTGTAATGGCAGCCTGTTTACAAGACATTGAGTTCAAAATAAACTAAAAGCATTAACAGTGAATACAGAAAAAAAGATGAATATCTATAGAATAACAATCAGAAAGAAAAATGTAATGTCGTTTTATTTATCTCTTACATTTCCCTTATTCCCCTCCTCCTCCTCTCTCCCTCCTCCTCTCCCTCCTCCTCCTCCTCCTCTCCTCCTCTCCCTCCTCCTCCTCCTCCTCCTCCTCCTCCTCCTCCTCCTCCTCCTCCTCTCAGATCTCCAGTGTTGTCTATGTTACAAGACCCTATGCTAAATAAGACCCCTATGCTAAATAAGAACCCTCATAAGACCCGATGCTCAATAAGACCCTATCAATAAGACCCTATGCTCAATAAGACCCTATGCTCAATAAGACCCTATCAATAAAGACCCTATGCTCAATAAGACCCTATGCTCAATAAGACCCTATGCCTAAATAAGACCCTATTCTCAATAAGACCCTATCAATAAGACCCTATGCTAATAAGACCCTATGCTAAATAAGACCCTATGCTCATAAGACCCTATCAATAAGACCCTATGCTAAATAAGACCCTATTCTCATAAAGACCCTATCAATAAGACCCTATGCTCAATAAGACCCTATGCTAAATAAGACCCTATGCTCAATAAGACCCTATGCTAAATAAGACCCTATTGCTAAATAAGACCCTATTGCTAAATAAGACCCTATGCTCAATAAGACCCTATCAATAAGACCCTATGCTCAATAAGACCCTATGCTCAATAAGACCCTATGCTCAATAAGACCCTATGCTAAAATAAGACCCTATGCTCAATAAGACCCGATGCTCAATAAGACCCTATGCTAAATAAGACCCTATGCTAATAAGACCCTATGCTCAATAAGACCCTATGCTCAATAAGACCCTATCAATAAGACCCGATCAATAAGACCCTATCAATAAGACCCTATGCTAAATAAGACCCGATCAATAGACCCTATCAATAAGACCCTATCAATAAGACCCTATGCTCAATAAGACCCTATAATAAATAAGACTATGCTAAATATTAGCTTCAGACACGTAAACATTGATGGTAAAGGTATTACTGAGTTTACCAATAAGTTGTAAAATGCTGAATAAGCACCGAAACTTTCATGATATTATTCTCGGTTGTTTCCGTGGAACGGCCGAATGTTGTGTCACGGTAATGTTGCGGCTGCAAGGCATTGTGGGGCAGCATGTTCTCCTTTCCTTTCGTTAAGGAAGGTCCAGTGTTTCCTAAGCTAAAGGAGGTTATAAAGGAAGTTTCCTAGCTCCTTTCCTAGCTCCTTTCCTATCATCTTTAAATGTCCGTTTGAGTCATATTTAAAAGCTGTTGAACGGCTCTCTGTGCTCTGTCCTGAAAACATTACATTTATGATTCTTTCCTAGGTTTATTTTTGTAAATGTGTTTACTTTTCTGAAATAATAAAAGCCAAACTTAAAGAGTAAATTCAGACGTTTCTTGCCGTTGCTGCCGACTGTGTTTGAATTGATTAATGTCAAAATTAAAGAGTGTTTGAGTAAAACTGATGTTTGTCTGAATGATTTAATTAAATATTGTTGCATTTAGTTTTACATAAGGTCTTGTAGACTTTCTACTACCGTTAGCTCTTCAGAACCAACTTTAATTTAAAATATGGAAGCCCTGTGCCCTGAGACCAGTTTCACCCAAAGTACGGAATACGGTTCAGAACTCTTGACTTTTTCAGAACTGTGATTTCAGGTGTTTTTTTCCGAATTTTGACTTTTCTTCAGGATTCGGAATGTGTTTCTCAAAATGTTGACTTTTTCCTAGAAATCCGACCTTTTTCATAAAGTTGACATTTGTACTTTTTTTTTCCGAACTACGACTTTTTCTTAGAGATATTACTTTTTCTTAGAAATATGACTTTTCCTCGAATACTGACTACATGACATGTTACTTGTTAGACGCTTTTATCCAAAGCGACTTACATACTCAATACTGTGGACAATCCCCACAGGAGCACTTTGGGGTGAAGTGTCTCAGGGACACAACGACATGCTGACTGCAGTGGGGTTTGAACCTGATCCGAACACCAAGGCTCTATTCACTGCGCAACACACCTCCCCTAGACTAGAAACATATTGTAATCTCCCCTGTGAACGGGTGGAGAAAATAAGCATTTTTCTGTCACAAGTTTAACCGCAACTCTACTTTTTCAGAACTGTGATATTTTTTCATTTCAGGTT